AGACACACACACACCCTTTACCAAATCAAAGAGCATCAATGGCAAACACGACGTTAAAAACAATGCCTCCATTGTTTGGTCTGTCAGTCTGCCTATCTGATGTTCATGTTCACTTCATATTCAAATGCTTCAGACAATCTATCTGCATTGCAAAAGTCAAGGGGATTTGTACCACAGAATTCCTATACTGTAGGGACCTTTTGATTGTTGGGGGTCCATGCTTAATATTTCTAGAATTGCTGAAGGTTGTAGTTGGTGGAGTTATGATATAAAGTTGGCTGATTTTCTTATTTCTATTGTTCTTCAGCTCCTGGGATTGGACTGTGGGTTCCTAGTTCTTATGACAGAAGCCTATTAGGTTTTAGACTAGTTTTAGTATTTCCCTTCACAAAATGTTAGAAAATCATGCCATTGATCTTTGGTAAGTGAGAGTAGAAAAGTTATTTATGGTGGATTTTATTTCATCAGATGTATATCAACTCAATCATAGTACGCTCAGTGACTCACAAAATAATAATGTGCAATAACAATATAAAATTAAACGCTGCCACAACATATGGATCCAGCCCCCAAAATGTTCTGGGAAAGAAGTGTCTTCAGCTTTTTCTGAAAGGCAGGCAATGTTGGAGATAGATGAATCTCCACTGGGAGGCCATTCCAGGAGGCCAATCCTATCATCACCAAGCAACCATCAAATGACACCCCCTCCTGAAAAGGGGAGAAAACAGCTGCTTCTCCAGTATGCTTCTCCAAGAAACAGGAAGCCAAAGCAGAGCTCCCAAAACAGGTACAATATGTGCTTCCTGGTAAACACCCATGAATACCTTAGCCATTGCTTTTGGTAGCAATTAACACTACCAGATAGTCTTTAAAGGAAGCCACATGTAGAATGTGTTGCAATAGCCCAATAGGGTGATAATAGGGCAGGAGCCACTGTGGTCAGATTCTTCCATAAGGCTGCAGTTGGCATGGCAGCCAAAGCTGGACAAGACCATAACGTGGTGATGGCCTGCACCTGATGATCTAGCAGGAACCACCAGTCCAGAAATAATCACAAGCCTTGGACCTGCACCTTCAAGGACAGTGCAAGGGACAAAAAAGAGGACTAGAAGAATCTTGATGGAACAGTAGCTCTGTCTTTACTTTACTTTCCTTTGTCCTCTCCAGATCACATAGCCATTCTATGATGCTATAACAGCTTTTAGGAGAGGACTTGATTATAGTTTTGTGAAGGTGGGTTTTTTTTTTTTTTTGTTTTTTGTCAGTTCAACATCTGTTTGGAAATGCTTCATACCATTTAATTTCAGTTCAACTTCTGGCACCTCAAACTTATTATCTATTGCCCTGTCCTTCGGAGCAAATGCAAGCCATTTTTCTCTATTTCCTATCATGACAGCGTTTTATATTTTAGCAAATTGTTACCATATTGTCCTTTAATTTGTTTTCAAAGCATAAAAATGAACGTCTTGCTCCTTCAACTTTCTCTCTTATATTTCATTCCCCCACTCCCCATTTTTTCTCCCCATTAGTCTTGCTTCTGTTTGGTTACTGCTGCTTAGACAATGTAGCACCCCAACAGAGTTTGAAATTCTACAGATTTTCCAATAATATTGAAACAAAACATTGTATGTATTCACATGTGCCACCTCTTTATCAATAGTCAAGAAAGAATTCTTTTATTTTTTTCCCCCTGCAAAATTAAATTGTTGTATTGCCATTCAATTTGTATTGATCCTAATTTTCCATGTGATGGAAAATATTTTGGTTTATGACTTTAGAACATTTACTCTTTTAGAAATGTCAGTATATGTTGTATACTTGTAGATTCTTACATGTTGTAACGGGTTAGCTGCATTCTTTAGCTGTGCCATCTGTACTTTTTTTGAAACTGTATTTTCACCTCCCACATCCAAATAATTTATGAAGATGTTAATCAATGTTAGACTGTGACAAATCCTTTCTACTTGATGCTAAAATCATGATAACAAGTGGGATTTTCAATGAAGTTTTCAGTTTAATATGTCTTTGTTTAGAATTTTAGGATATTGAATTTCATTTGCCATCTCTATTTCTGTCCCAGGCTATTGGCTGCTTTTCAGTATGACAGCCTATAATCTTTTTTTTTTTTCTAAATAGATATTTTCTTCAAAATTTGGTGAGGTTTTCAAGGTGACTAGGCTACATAACAACCCACAGTTAAAAAGGCATAAAATTCAGAAAAAAATATGTAAAGGAGGACGGGTTTATGCTATCTTATGTCAAACAACAAAATTACTGTTTACAGTGAATCATGAAGGAAAGGCCTTACATTTTGAAGAGCACAGAAGAAAAAAAGACATTTGCATTGTTATTAAAACTCCACCTTGAATATAAGGTGCTCTGAGGAAAAAAGGTTTCTTCATTTTTTTAGAGTAAGAAGAAGAAAACAGTGTATCTTTCTTAGCTACGGAGAAAATGATGGATGGGGAAGACTTCCCCTCCATTTTTCTGCTGTTGAGTTTAGTTATTATGTGTTTAGAGTACAAGATTTACCCTGTTTTATAGATTCATGCAACAAACTAAACTGTAAACTATCCACATGGGTTAGCCTTGCACATTACGGTTGGCTAAAATGTAGTTGGTTAATTTATGTCTCAGTGAGCCATGCTAACATGACATATACGTATATGGAGAGAAAACAAAGTGAATTACTGTGCAGATAGGCAGTTATATTGTCAACATAATAATCCATTTTGGGGTGTTTTTTTTTTGCTTCTACAGCATAGCCATATGTGAAGTGTACTAGAGAGAATACAAAGTTTAGCTTAGATAAAAATGTGGTTCAGGTAAACAGTATTCCTGAAACAAAGTAATATAAATCATGTGCTGTTGTCTGTCATTGGCTTCTAATCTTTCTTTGTATTCATTAACCACCCTTAGATGTATTGTGGTCCCATTTAATATCTGTAATGCATACAAAAATTCGACCAGATCTTAAAAATACAAGCATAAATTGCATAAAATTAATATCCTACCAATATTGAAGTCAGCACAAAACCAAACAGAATGCAATGCCAGGAATCCTCAATGCTCTCAAATATTACATTGGTAGTTTACACAGATGTTTAATGCATTTGAATGAAGTTTCTTAAAGTGCTGAACTAAAACTATGACACAAAGTTTGTTTTAGCTTTCCTGCGAATTAGAGTGGATTAGGAACACATATAGAAGTCTTATTTTTTATTATTATTAAAATACAATATATGAAGTTGGATAGTCTGCACTCATATGCCCATCAATAGCTTCGGTTAAATCAAAGTCAGTTTCTTGTATTTCTCCAAAATGGTTTCAAAAATTATTTTCTAACTGTATTGATTTCGTTTACTAAGTTGATATGCTACTCCATCCATGTCTGATTCTGAGCAGCTTGCAGAAATAGCTTGCATTACTCCAAAACAGTAATAAAATTAATAGTTTAAATATTAATAATAAAATAATAAATAACATATCATGGACCATAGAAAAACATTATGCTGTCTTCATCGGGTAAAACTAAAATGACACTGAAGAAGTATATCACTTCTGAGTAAATGCCTAAACCATTAACACAGCCTTCCAGTCATTGGTCATAGGCAGCAGCTTTCAAACACTTTTTTCCTTTCTACCAACTCTTTCCTAATATGTGAAGCCTGTTGAACCTGGCTGATATGGCTACTGTTATCTTCTGATTCTATTGTGCAATAAACACATGTTGAGTAATCATTGAAGTGATTAATAGGAATTAATCATCAAGACAAGACAAAACAAATTATCAAGACAAGGCATCTGCCCTGTTGCACTGTATGGCACTGAATGTTCCATTGGATATCGGGCATCTCCCTTCTTGACCACATCACAAATGACAACATTCAATAGCATTTTGGTTTGTCACCAATTATAGAGAAGATGAGAGAAGACCAACTCTGCTGGTAAGGACATATCCAGAGAGCAGCACCTTCCACCATGGCCAAGACTGCCTATCAACTAGAAGTGAATGGCAGGCGACCTTGTGAGCATTCAAAACAGAGATGGCAAGGCACCATCAACAAAGATATGCAAGCTGTGGGCCTGCGTCCGCATCATTGAATGATCATTGGATCTTCCTAGCATATTCCCGCAGGTGCAGGGTTCACTTTTTGGATCATTGAACACCACTTTGCGTTCAATGATCCAAAAAGTGAACCCTGCACCTGCGGGAATATGCGAGGAGGAGGAGGAGGAGGAGGAGGAGGAGGAGGAGGAAGAGGAAGAAGAAGAAGAAGAAGAAGAAGAAGAAGAAGAAGAAGAAGAAGAAATAATCATTGAAGTGGATCACACTTCATCTCAGTCTACTCCATCTCACAGAATCATAGCTATGGAAAAAAAATAGTATATGAGGGAAAGCTTTCCTTTGGAATAAGAAGAGTAGGATACAAACAGATAAATATATCTTGAGTATAAGAATGTCTTCAGAAAGATTGCTGAAAATCAAATTATATATCTACTACATTCCTACTGTATTCCTATTAAGTACTAAATGGTTTATGCTTTGAAAGAAAAACATTACGGTAGTTTCTTAGCAAATGACATTGGCTTCAGGTGAGTTTCATTTAAAAGCTGACAAATCCATAATTTTGTAATTATACTAAAAGCTTATTAGTTATTGTAGACAATTTCATTAAAAGCACACATTCTCCAGACCTCTCATTTTTTCACATTTAGCAAGGTACTAAAAGTTTATCTTTTTCCATAAAGTGCTGTGCTGAGAGCTTATTTGCTCTTGTTCAGTTTTGAAAGAAAATTTGCAATGACTTTCTGATTTCTAGACCGACTACTTCTTTCAGTAGATTGGGTTATATTTCATGAAGACTTGATGACTTAAATGTAGATATTTCTTCATATTAAGCAGCTATAGCTTCCTTATACTAAATCATTGTATGTGATAAGTACTTCTAAAAAATATTGAATATATATATATATATATCTTTTTTTTTGTCTTACAGGCTTTCCCATGTATCTCAACAGGCATTTATGGTATGTAAAACAGACTGTGAATTTCTACATAACTTTAAACAGTGATTTCCCTCTCTCCCTTTTGTTTTTATTTATACTCCATGAATTAGTAGGGCAGTCTATGCTGTTAAACTGTGTCGTGCTCAAAAATTACAAAATTAGCAAAATCTCAAAAGATTGTTCTTGTTTTGGAAGCATTTATGACTTTATGTTGACAAGAATAAGCTGTTTTGATTGGATTCAAAACTGCCATTACTTTGATGTGAATAGCGCTCAATATATACAACTTGGTGAGTTTCATGTGCGTAATGTATTTCTGATGCTCACTATAGCATGAGCAAAATGATATATCAATTGTTACTATTTGCTGGCAAGACCCATGGCTATATAAACTGAGTAAATGAATGAATGTCGTGAAAAAAGAATCATGACTCGGTTGTAAGAGCATATGATATGTCTGAACTTCAGTTTCAGCTTCAATCCTTTGCATTTTTAATAAAACAATATTAGACTCCAGAACTAGCAAAGCTTTTAGAGTTCTTTATCATGCCAGTTTAAGTAGATAGAATTGTGCTATATGGATTAAGAACATGATTTGGTTATCCTGAAGCAATTTTTCTAGCTACATAAGATAACAGGGGCATTCTGGTGGGAAAATAATTAAGGCAAGTTTGTTTTTAGAAATACCTAGTTGTGATCTTATATTTGGTAATAAAACTGAAGGGCAGAAAGAAATTATTTCATACTGCCTTGTACGACACTGAGTAGGGGACTAGACTACGTGAACTGCAAGTCCTCTCAGCCTTTATTTTTGGCGGTGGGGAAGGCTGTTTTTACCCTCCCCAGGCTCCTAGAAAGCCTCTGGAGCCTGGCGAGGGCGAAAAACGGGCCTACCGGGTCCACTGTGCCATTGTGTGCCAAAAGAGGGGGGAAGTGTAGGTGGATCACGCGCTCATGCGGGGGGTAGGGTGCATAGAATTATGGGTGTGGGCACATGCGTGCACGATCTCCCCGCGCTCCCCCCACTTTTGGCACGCGATGGCCATCAGGTTAGCTATCACTGCCCTAGTAAATCTTGCAATATTTGAGGCCTGAGAGAGATCCCTTTGCTAGTTGCACTGGCCTCATACCTGATATTTCTTTCTGATTTTGTATGCATATAGTACATGAATAATGTTGCCACTTGCTTTGAATATTAGAGCCCAAATGGATAGGCATGCTTATGATTCACAAGACTTTACTTGAGGGATTGTGAAACAAACTCAAACTTGCCATGTGATAGAACTACAGTTGATGCTCCCAAATTTAATGTCTATGGCAAGCATCCAGAATATCTCTCTGTTGCCTCTCAAGCTATTGCATACCCGTAACTTCCAGCGTACGTAAGCACACCTATTCTGTCAATATTTTAGTGTTTATTAACAATAAAAATGAAGCTGAACTTTCAGAAATGCAAAAAATTACCTGACATATGAAATGTCTAGTTAATGGTCAAAAGCTATGTCACTGTTTTAAGAAAATTATAGAACCAGAAAGCATTTAAATCACAATGTTTTGGTATCAGTTTTCTCACAATGTTAAGGGCATTTAAATTCTCTTTATGAATAAAAATATCTATCTCCTCAGAATTCTATAGGCCAAGTGAAGGTGTCAAATTCCATAACCTTCTTTTCAGAAGTAGAAAGTCAGAAGTTTATAGTAAGGTATAGTAAGGTACTAAACTTGTATAGGAGACTGTAATGACTGCAATTTGCAAAAAGGAACCAAACATTAATTTTATTTTATTTATTTATTTATTATTCGTATTCCTATGCCGCCCAACTCTCTGAGGACTCTGGATGGCTTACAACAAAGACAATATGAACAATATACAATAAAAGACGTTAAAAAACCCATACACACTGCTCATGGCCGGATCTCGCAAGATCGCAGTGGCGAGATCAACGGCCCCAAGCCTGCCGGAAAAGCCAGGTTTTCACCATTTTCCGGAAGGCCAGTAGGGTGGAAGCAGTCCGGGCCTCAGGAGGTAGCTGATTCCAGAGAGCTGGAGCAGCCACAGAGAAGGCCCTCCCCCATGGACCCGCCAGCTGACATTATTTAGCTGACGGGACCCGGAGGAGGCCAACCCTGTGGGATCTTACCGGTCGCTGGGAACTATGCGGTAGAAGACGGTCTCGAAGATAGCCTGGCCCTAAGCCATATAGGGCTTTAAAGGTAATAACCAACACCTTGAATTGTGACTGAAGACCGATAGGAAGCCAGTGCAGTTCATGGAGGATTGGTGTAATGTGGGAGTACCTAGGTGCACCCACGACCACTCGAATGGCTGCATTCTGGACCAACTGTAGTCTCCAAACACTTTTCAGGGGTAGCCCCATGTAGAGCGCGTTGCAATAATCCAACCGTGAGGTGGCAAGGGCATGAGTGACTCTGAGAAGAGCCTCCCGATCCAGGTAGGGTCGCAATTGGTGTATAAGGCGAACTTGTACAAAGGTCCCCTTAGCCACAGCTGCCAGGTGTTGCTCTAATCTCAGCTGTGGGTCAAGGAGGACACCCAAATTGCGAACCCGTTCTGAAGGGGACAGCTTCTCCCCCCCCAGGGCTAAGGATGGACAATTGACATGGTCCTTGGGAGGCAATACCCACAGCCACTCGGTCTTGTCTGGGTTAAGTCTGAGTCTGTTGACTCCCATCCAGACTCTCACAGCCCTCAGGCATTGGCACATCACATCCACTGCTTCACTGAAATGATGCGGGGTGGAGATATACATCTGGGTATCACCAGCATACTGCTGATATCCCACCCTGTATCATTGGATGATCTTCCCCAGCAGTTTAATTATTAAATTTAATTATTAATACTCCTTTTATTGTTCACATTTTATTTATTCTTGATTTCCCAAGATGTCATCAGCCATTCAGTTGTTTTCAACTCTCACAGATCAGCACTCTGTCTCACATCACCTCCTTCAGATCTGCCATGGTCATCCCGGTGTTATTTTTTATGAATACTTCTCCTTTTTCTGTGATCAATCCCAATGTGATTGACTTTTTGAGTGAGTCAGCTCACATGACATGACCAAAGTATGACAGCCTCTGTTTGGCGATCTTGGCTTCATGTGATATTTTTGGTGAGGTTCAGTCTAGGATTTCTTTGTTTCTTATTTTTGCAGTCCATGGGGTGTGTAATAATCACCTCCAGCACTACAGTTCAAAGGCAAAGGCATCCACCCTTATCCTATCTTTTTCAGAGTTCAAGTCAGCCATAAGTAACAACTGGAAAAAATACTGTGTTAACTAATCTGCATTTGGTTGTGAGGCTGATGTCTTTACTCTTCCAAATGTTCTTCATGCCAGACATTGCAGTTCTTCCATGTGCTATATGTCTTCTAATTTCAGGGCTGCAGTCACCACTTTGGTCAATTTTAGAGCCCAGGAAGATGATTTCTTTTACTGTTTTGATGATCTCATTGTTGATCTGCACTCTGACCTATGTGTTCACTGAAGTTCTTATTATCTTTGTTTTCTTGATGTTAAGATACAGTCCAAAATTTTCACTTTCATCTTTGACTTTCAGGATTAACCACTCCAGGTCCCCCTTGCTTTTCGTGAGCAATGTTGTATCACCTGTACATTGGAGGTTGTTGATATTCCAACCACCAATTTTAACCCCAATGGTAGATTACTCCAAATGTGCATTTTTCATAACTATTTATGTGTACATCTTGAATGGTATAGACAGCAAGAGGCAGCATTGCCACGTGTCTTTTCCAATTCTGAACCATTATGTGCCTCCCTATATGGTTCTTACAGTGGCTTCCTAATTAGAGTACAATGACTCAATGAGCTGGATGTGGTATGGTGATATTCCCAGTTCTTTGGGGCATTTCCAGAGTTTGTCATGGTCAACACAGTCAAAGGCTTTTGTGTAGTTAATGAAGCACCTGTAGAGATCTTTTTGGTATTCTTTTACTTTTTCCATCGTCCAATGTAGATTGGCAATATGATCAATTCTGATTGTACATAAGGCAGTTCTCTGTTGGCGGTTGGATTCAAACATTGTTGGATTATCTTCAGTAAAGTTTTACTTACAAGTTTGTATCAAGGCTGTGGTTTGATGGTTGGAATAGTCTTTCATGTCACTTTTATTGTCCAAGATTGCCCAAGAACCTTGATGAAAATTGCCATTTTACTCTGTTTCCCAATCACCTCATTTTTTAATTGTAATAATAGTAAGTTTAGCAATTAAATAGTATTTTTCTGACCATTTGGTTACATTGATGCAAATCAGTCTGCAGGATAAAACAGAGAAAATATAAATTTATGATAGGTTTTCTTGAAATAGAATGTGAATAAACCAGTAAATAGGCAAATGTCATGCAGTTTTTCCACAGTGCCTCTTAACTTCATATTGAATCAGAAATGATCTAAGATTATCTGTGAAAACTGCAAAAATTGAGAAGATATGTACTTATGTGTTTTCTGAGACTGCTAGGATTTTAAAAAAGAATATCTGCCTATTTCTTTCAAAGCACACCATTTTTGAAAACAGCTAATTTCAAACATTCCTTTTCCTTTTTCTTGATTGATGCAACAATGGGGAAATGTAGAATTAGTGATGTTTCACCTTCCCATTTCCTTTCATTTGTCTGGGTTATTTCAATATTCCAGGTAAATGCACCCCAAGAACATATTAATCTCTATTTGGGGATTTCCTCTATAGGTTAGACTTCATTCTCACAAAAGGTTTATATATTTTTTAATATATTTTAATATTCTTGTTTGTTTCGAATAATTTTTAGAAATCCTTTAGATTCTCTCTATGAATGTAGCTTGGGAGATTTTTTTTAACCATCACCTCCATATCCTGCTCAGAGGTGGGTTTCAGCAGATTCTGACCAGTTCTGGAGAACCGGTAGCGGAAATTTTGAGTAGTTCAGAGTAGTTCGGTAGTAAAAATTCTGACTGGCCCCACCCTCATCTATTCTCTGCCTCCCAAGTCCCAGCTGCGGTAACCTCCC